ATCTGCCTGTTGTGCCAGGTAAATTACTGTGCTACTATATCCCCACACTGGGGTTAGTGTCTGCACGTGATGTGGTTGTTGTCCGAGAGGCTAAGTCTGCCAGTCTGTCTTGGCACTTGATTGGCTTATCTTGAGGTGGAGGCTTCAGCTGGTGCTGGTGCTACAAACTGTTTCTTTGAACTTTTTTTATTTCCTGTATTTTCCAGATGTCTTGTCACTCTTCTGTTTCTCTAAGATGGACCTCTCTTCCACACTTCTATGTGTACTCTCTTCTTTGTTGGTCATACTCTTACTGATTCACAGGGTTTGATGGAGAAAGATTTCACTCCTCTGTCATCTTCAATTTTAAAATCTTACAAACTCAGAAGTCCAGCCTCTATTATAGCTCCACTCCAGAGACTTCATGGAGATCTATACCGAGCCTGTTTCTAATCAAAACATCAATATGATAGTACTTTTCCTTATTGAGGAATCTGGGTTTCTGGGGAGGGAAAGAACCTTAGAAAATGGCTTCAAGTGCCCTCTATATTTGACAATATTCAAAACTGAGATTAAAAGTATTTCTGCACCAAGCCCATGTTTCCTCTGCTGCTATGCCCTAGCAAAGAGCTTGTACCCAATCAGTTGAAAGGTTTCTGTGGGCTTAGAGTATAGCTCAAGTGACAAAGCACTTGTCTAGCAAGCATGAGACTCAGAGTTCAAACTCTAATATCACAAAGAAAAAAGTTTTTGCTTCAACTAGAGCAAATAAAACCTTAGATAAAGCAGCCCAAGAAGAAGACTAACTCTCCTGAAAACCAAAACTTTTATCCCATTCCTGTTAAATCAAGACAAAGAACAAGCAGGATCCCTGGGCCATGATCCAGCTACATTCTGATGGATTAGTGTCATTAATAAAGCAAGAATCTCATGTTTTACAAGAAACACAACTGAACAGTCATCACTTGGAATTTTATGACAACAGGTGTGATTATTCTGTGTCTAAGTTTCCTATCTATGATATCAGAATAAGGAATTTCTACTTAGCAGCATTACCTTGAGAAATGAAGTGGGTAAAAAGCACAGTGTGTGGGAAAATGTTAGTGTTTTGTTACAAAAAAGGAGGAAGGGCAAAATTTTAAGAAATGTACCATTTTCCAATAAAATACAATTGAAACTATGTTTCCCACTCAAGAATTCTATTCTAGAGAAAATGCTTTATCTCCAAATTTCAAGCTTTATAAAAATGATTTTGGGGGGGCAGTATTGGAGTTTGAACTCACAGCTTCATGCTTGCTAGGTAGGCACTTGAGCCATACCTCCAGCCCTTTTGTTTGGTTATTTTGGAGATAAGGTCTCATATTAGGCCCAGAGTGGCCTGGGCTGTGATCCTCCTGTTTTAAGCTTCCTTCCATTGCTTGGCACCCAGCTATCGACTGAGATGGAAGCTCACAATTTTTTTTTTTTAACCAGGACTGGCCTGAACTGTGATTTCCTAAACTCAGCCTCCAAAGTAGCTAGGATTACATGTGTGAGCCACCCAGCACTCAGTATAATAATGATTTTTAAGCAGTGTGATGAATTAGTTAACAAAAATTAAGGCTTTGTTGCTAGGTAATTTTATATCCCTGATTTGTAGCTACTAGCATGGCTTGTTGACTGTAAATTTGACATGAATCCTGAGTAGTTTGTGGTTTGTTAACAAACTGCACATTGTGTCTTTAAATATAGCAGAGAATGAAGATTTTATTCCTATCATCTTTAGAACATTAATACATTTTTACTAATGTTCTCTGCTTTGTAGAGCACTTTTCCTAGCTTTTGGAAATTGCAAGTATTGCCAGAGAATTCCAACTACTTCTTTCCAATATCCAATATATGAAAATTGATATTGACATTAATTGGTCCTGACCTTGAGTTGAACTTGCTAGATTCTGATTAACTCCAGTTAGGATTCTTAATTAAATATGACAGAAAATTGGCTTAAGCATAAAGACACTGCATTGTCTCATGTAACTAAACAAATCCAGTGGGTAGGTAAAACACAAGGATTTGTACAGAGTCATCAGGACACGGTTTTTGTCTCGTAGCCTCTTTCCTGCTTTCTCATGGTTGGTCTTATTATCAGGCAAGCTCTTCCCACAAGGAGGCAATATCCTTTTGGATCAAGTTGAGTAGCGTCTCTTCCCTCACCGAATCCCATTGACTCTCAAGTGTTCCATGCCTGTGTTTGAACTAATCACTATGATCTGAGGAATACATTGTTCAGATTGGCCAAACCTGAACCATGTGATCACCCCTGGAGTTGGAGATAAACTAACTCCATGTGAATTGCTTGGACAGTGAGAGGAGCAGGGTATACCCACAGGGTATGACAATTAGAAGCACAAATGATGCTGGGTCATAAAGGCAACAAAAATGTCCATTGAGATTATGGACAGTGGAATTGCTGAGGCTCATTAAGGATGTACTCAAAGCCACTGTGCTATGGACCTGCAGTCCCAGCTCTCTGGGAGGCTGAGTTAGAGGATCATTGGAACACAGGAGCTAGAGACCAGACTAGCAAACAGAGTGAGAACAAACAAACAAAAATGTTCACAATTCTACATACCTTTTCTATCTGGCTATCAAGAATTGCCTGTGAGCCACATCACTCTTAAATATTTCTTATGTCTTTATTATAACGGTCCTCATTGCTTCCTATGCATTGCTTAACCTTTCTGTCATCTTCCAAAGCTGCTAAATAATTTCACACGTATTATAACCCATGTTTTAATAGATCAGCAATGAAGGGACAGTACTTTAAAGTACTGAACCACATGTTAGCCAACCATAGCAAGCACCTATTTTTTTAAAGGTCTCTGATTGGCTGCTTTGCCCCCACTAAAGTGGGTAGCCTGTTAATACATACATAAAGCTGAAGAGATTGACAGAGGCAGCTGGACTGGGTTAGTCTGGGAAGTCTGACTCAGTCCTCCTAAGGGCATTGCTAACAATTCCATTGACCCCATAAGGAAGCGAATAGAAAAATCAATTTGTAGCTTTGTCCTAGGAAATTACAATATGAAGGAAAGATTTAGGTAACTGTCCAAAACTTTCAGTAGACCAGTTAATATGTGCCTTCATTTCTCTTAACTTTAATTTCTTATTTATAAAGTAGAGATTAAAAAACCTCAGAGATTGATAACAGTAATTTGATAAAATAATTTGAAAGCATGTTGAAAAGAATAAAGGGACTATTCAAAATATTTTCTTTTCATATTAAAAAAATAAATAAATAATGGTGAAGTAGAAAGAACACATTGCCAAAATCAAAATGAGGTGTCAGAGTGCAGTACTAAGAACACCAAAAGTAATCATCCAGTTGCCCACTGGTTAGGCATCTTTGGGCAAAAAGGTACAATAATGCTGCAAGGATAATATAGAGAATTTGCCTTTTCTGCTTCTTGAGAAGTTTAGTTTTCTGTAAGCAGTTTGCTCTTTGTTTATTCATGTCTTTGTCTACCTCAGCAAATTACTCCATTGCTTTTTTGTATATTGCTACATATTTTATAATTAAATAATATAATTGGCAAAGTGTAGGAAAATATTCATAACAGTCATGTGTATGTTCATTCAACAAGTATTTATTGTGCACCTACTAAGTGCTAATCACTTGCTAGGTACTCGAACATAGTGTTAAACAAATTAAACATTTTGCCTTCATGAGGCTAACTGATAGCTGACTATTCACTTGGACCTTCATTCTTGTGGGTATTATTAAATATATGTAAACAGAAACATGACCATCCATGTCTATCTCAAAAGACCAATGAATAAATATCAGGAGCCACAAATGAGGAGGTGCACGCTTACCTTTCCCTTCTTCAGATCATCCTTTATGATATTTTAGAGACAATTAGTTCACTTTGAACAGATTTCTTTAAATTTTATGTTTCCTCTTTCTTCTGGTGAGTAGTACAAATGATAAAAACCTGTCTGTTAGTGATAGAACATTTATTATACAACTTAAATGCTGGCAGAAGCTTTATTAAAAATCACCAAGGCAATAGAAAGCAGTAAGCCTGAAAGCCAAGTGTGGTTTGCATAATTATAATCTCAAGTTCTCAAGAAGCAGAGTAGGAGGATTGAAGTCCCAGGTCATCCTGGGCAAAAGCATGACACCTTATCTGGAAAACAACCTAAAAAGCCAAGGGACTGGCATGTCTAAGAAACTAGTGTACAATTTTATCAAGAGAGGTGACCAACCCTGCCTAATCATCTCCCTCAGCAAGCTTTTAGGTAAGTTTCTTCTTGACTCGAGACCATGGCCTAATACCTTTATTTAGAGCATTTAATCTAGAAATGATATCATTGTAAATTCTTTTTCTGCCCATTTGAGATATAAATCTTTTTTAAAAGCATATTTGCAGTTTATAATACACTAATGTCTTTTTCTAGGGCCTGGAGGCCATCTCTTTGAAATAGAATCATTAAGGAATTCAATAACCCTATCTTCAAAAGGTAGGAAGCTAACTTTTGTAGGTCATTGCTCCAGTAGAAGTAACTCTTGTCAAAGATACAAGAAAGTTTACTTTTCCTTTGGAGAAAGCAATTAGCAAACACAGCTGACCTAAGGTCTACTTCTACCCCAACTCATAAAAACCCTGATGTCTTTAGCTTCACTAGAGATGTGCTCTCAGTTCTCATTTTTCTCTTCTATTTCAATAGCCTTGAATAAAATCTTCCTTGTCTGTTGAATTGTACCAGTTCAATTTTTACTTTGACCAGGGAAAACCAAGATATGTGATTCAGCTGGTCTATTTTTCTATAACATAAAACTTTCTTCTATGTGCTTTGTGTTTCAATGACACTTGAATTTTTTTCAAGCACTTCATCAACAGAAGCCCAGAAGAGATTTCAAATATTTTAAATATCCCCACTCTTTTTAACTGGAAAGGTTGGAAGAAAGAGAAAGGTCACAGGCAATAGCCTTTTATTTTCTCTTTTGAACAAATACCTTCTTTTCCCTCTGCTTTTAGTGTTCTTGGCTGCCAGATATCTGCTTGGTCCAATGTGCAAGAGGGAACAGACCGAACAGTACCAACTGCATCATCTTTGAAATCAACAAATTCTTGATTGGCCTGGAACTGGTGCAGGAACGTCAGCTCCACCTGGAAACAAACTTTGTGAAGCTGGAGGATGACACAAACTGTTCCCTGTCCTCAATTGAGGAAGACTTTCTCACTGCCTCTGAACAGTTGGAGGAAGAAAGCGAGGTGGAAGAATATAGGACTGGTGAGAACTTCTCAATAAAACAAATGTGCATCTTGGCATTAGTCATGACATAAAAATGTCTGAGTAAGAGTTCAAAAGGTTTCAGGCCACATCAGGTTAGCTGACACATCACAATCCTCACTTGCTGAGTTTTAATGAAAAAAAAAGGATAAAAGAACACCAGTGAAGATGCTGACTGCTGCACTTTGCATGCTTGATGGGTAAATGGATGTGGGCTAGGCTTCCAAATGATGCCTTAGGGATAATGAAGGAAATCTGTGTTTTAAAGGGATTATCTTCCTACCCTCCGACAGATGGAGACTATCCCTAGGAGTAATGTCAGCTTCCATAAGACTTCCATAAACCATATATTAGTTGGAGCCAAGTTGGCTGGCCTAAATTTGAATTCCAGAACTATCACTTTGAGGCTTAGAGATCTGGGACTATCTATCTAATTGTTTGAGTCCCCGCTTCCTTATTTGTAAATTTGAGATTATAATAGTATCTATAGCTAATGATTGTTTCAGAACAGGAAGAAGTAACCCAGGAAAGGGCTTATCACTTATTCATTCAACTCTTTTTTGTTGATCCATTAGTAAAGCTTAATGAATCCTCTTCCCCACCCTTGCTCACAGAGGAAAGGATAGTCCAGATGTTATTGTCATTGTTCCTGGAGTGAGTCCTATGCAAATTTCAGAACAAATCTTTGCACCAGGGCCACTATTGAGGTTGCCCTAAACATCCTCCTTTCTCCCTCTCTACCTACATAGAAGCATTAACTGCAACCGCCAATGTGTTACTTTCCCTGTGGTGTTGACCAAACACATTCTCATCCTTTAACATTTGCATTTATATCCCACATTGAAAGCCATTTTGTGGGTGTCATTCCATGATGAAATTGAAAACCCTTTCAGATTCACTTCTCTTAAAGAAACATTCACAATTCTACATTTGAAGAAGATAGCTGGTGCTTTATGGAAATTTTAGAAAGTAGTCGGTATTTTAGACCATGAAAATCTGCTACCCAGATATTAATAGTGGCCCTCATTTTCCTGTCACTAGGTTATGAAAATATAAATGTGTCAACCAATGTTTTGGAAAATAAAAAGCCAAAGGAAGTCTTCCAAGAGGAATGGGATTACAACAAGGGAAAACCGCTTTATGCTTTGGAAGACAAATACATTAACAAATATCATCCATCGCTGATTAAAACAGAAAGATCTTTGGAAAATGTAGCAGAGAACAAAGCCTTACAAAGTGTAGATCCCTCAGCCACGTCATCACAATGGAAAGGTGAAGCCATGGGGAATGAGCAACCAGCCACAAACCCTTGTTATCCAGAAAAAATTAAAGGTCAAGTGGAAACAACTCAGGCACTGTATATTCCAAGTGATGCTTATTTCTCCATGATGGTTAGCAAAGATGTACCTTCTGCATGTGGCACTGACACTGAGCAGAGCAGCAACCTAGACCCAGGAGATGGTGAAGATACGAGAAACTCTCTTCTACCTATCCAAGATGGAGAAGCTACAGCTGGAGAGTATGCTACAAATTTAGCAGAATCTGTGCTGCAAGATGCCTTTATCAGATTATCTCAGTCCCAGCCTACACTACCCCAGAAATCTGCAGTCAGTATTTCTGTAGGAAGTGCTCTGCTTCCCAGTGGCTGTTCCACAAAAGATATAGTGGTCCCTCGGTCATGGAATGAGCTCCCCAAAATCGTCATTGTGCAGAGTCCAGATGGCAGTGATGCAGCCCTGGAGCCCTGGTCCGAGATGGAGGTCTCTGTTGAAAGCTCAGGCATCCTGTCTGGAGAGAACCCCAACAGACACCCTCAGAGTGCACTAGAAGTAGCGCTAGCTTGTGCAGCCACTGTAATTGGAACTATTTCTAGTCCACAGGCCACAGAAAGACTCACAATGGAGCAAGAATCCCTGGTATCCAACTGTGCACTGAGAGGAAAGGGGGTGCTTCAAAGTCAAGCATCCCAAGGACTCAAGGAGCCCTCCATCAGTGAATATTCCTTTCCATCAGCTCTAGGTGGCATGACACAGGTGGCAAGTGCCATTGCTGTCTGTGGCTTCGGTGATAGAGAAGAGGTGACATGCCCTGTGACACCAAGTGGCCTCTTGCCTACAGCTGGGACTTCTGAAGCAATGCCCTCACTTTGCAGTTTAGTGACAGAGAGAAGTGTGGAGCTAGGGAAGGAAGCTATTGCAGAGGCTCTGCTCAGGGAGGCTGCACTGGTGTTAACAAGCCCTGATACCTACAGCAGCACTGGAGACCTCATGGAATCTGTGAATAGGAGAATCATAGAAACCACTTCCAAACCTCAGACCCTGTGCTCAGAAAACTTCCTTAGGAATGAACTGGCACAGACCCTGTCCAGTGTTATCCTGAAACATTCTATTGATGAATTTCACCAGAAAAATAAAATGACTTATCCCAATGATAGCAGACACCCATCTGAAACTCTGAACACCTTAATGGAAAGTACAAATCAACTGCTCCACGATGTGATATGCTTCACGTTCAGAAAGATGAGTCATATTGTTCAGCTCGGTGAATGTCCCACTGTCCTTTCTAAGGAGACCATTAAATGGAGGGAGACAGAACCCTTAAGATGCCAACCTTTTGATCAGGCTCCTGTTCAAACATGGACAAAAGCCACAGAAGGCTCCAGTCCACACAGCACTAATCTTGTCATCAATGATCTTGTAGATGATGTTCTTCCAAAGCAAGACAAGAGTGGAGCAAGGCCAGGCCTATTCAAGAACCCCATGATGCAATCTGAACTGTCATGTAGTCCCAGAGTGACTGCTAAAACATCCCCCAAGGAAATACATCTGAAAGGAGTGGTAGGAGAGGATACAAAGAATTCTCATCAGATACCCAGTCCCAATGAAAATGAGCATAGCAACTCTTCAGAAGCAGAAAGGGCACCAATAGCAGGCAAGTGCAGAAGCAGCTCCCAGGATGCTGAGGACAGTATTGATCCCAACACCCAAGAGAAGTACAATGAAGTTCAAATTAACCAGTCCTTGTTAGGAGAGGACCTGGTGTTTCCTTCTCAACCCATGACACAGGCAAAGCACACAACTGTCTACTGCATTACAGACTTTGCAGAAGAATTAGCAGAAACAGTTGTCTCCATGGCAACTGAAATCGCAGCAATCTGCCTTGACAACTCCAATGGAAAACAACCCTGGTTTTGTGCGTGGAGAAGGGGGAATGAGTTTCTGGTGACACCAAACGTATCCTGCAGATCCTTGAAGAGAAAAAAGGAAAGCCAGAGCAGTGGTAGCACTGTGAGGAGGCACAAGCCCCCTCGACTCAGCGAGATCAAGAGGAAAACAGATGAGCATCCAGAGCTTAAAGAAAAGCTGATGAACAGGGTTATGGATGAGGCTGTGAACCTCGAGGACGTCCCTGATTCTGTCAATATTTTTGCAAATGAGGTGGCAGCCAAGATCATGAACCTCACAGAGTTCTCCACGGTGGATGGCGTGTGGCAGGCCCAGAGCTGTTCTCGGAATCGGTTACTGGGTGGTGACAGGTGGAACCGGCTGAAGGCCTCCAGCTGTGAAAGCATTCCTGAGGAGGACTCTGAGGCCAGGGCCTATGTAAACAGCTTGGGTTTAATGAGTACATTAAGCCAGCCAGTCAGCAGGGCCAGCTCTGTCTCCAAACAATCAAGTTGTGAGAGCATTACTGATGAGTTTTCCAGGTTCATGGTGAACCAGATGGAAAATGAAGGCAGAGGATTTGAATTACTGCTGGATTACTATGCTGGCAAGAATGCCAGCAGTATTCTGAGCACAGCAATGCAACAGGCATGCCGGAAAAATGACCACCTCAGCGTGAGGCCGAATTGTCCCTCCAAGCAGTCCAGCACGGAGAGCATAACTGAGGAGTTCTATAGGTTCATGCTAAGGGACATTGAACGAGAAAGCAAAGACAGCCCATCCTCCAGACGAAGCAGCCAGGATTGGAACCCAGGCTTACTGTCTCCTTCTGCACGATCACCGCTGTGCTACAGACAATCGTCCATGCCCGATGGCAGGTCCCCATGCACCAGGTTAATGGTGAATGCACCAGTCAAAGCCAACTCCTTAGATGGTTTTGCCCAAAACTGCATGCAAGATTTCCTCAGCGTGCAACCAGTCAGTAGCACCTCATCATCTGGTCTCTGCAAATCTGACTCTTGCTTGTACCGGAGAGGTGGGACTAACCAGATCACAGACATGCTAATTCATGAAACATGGGCAAGCTCCATCAAGGCCCTGATGTGCAAGAACAAAATTATTGTGGATGATGCAGAGGTGGCTGATGCGGGTCTTGTTGCTGACCACCCTCCCTTGCAAGTGGAGAAGTGTGCAAGCAGATTAGCTCCAAGCAGAGGGCCAACTCTTCTTGTTCAGGAATCTGTGGGTTGCCCAAGGAAGGACCCCGTTACTGAAAGCAAACATTCCCCATTGTCATCTCCAAGCAAGACAGCTCCTCTTACAACTCATGAGGGCTTCAGTTCCAAAAAGGACACTTCTGCATGCCATGATGCTGTCCTTCTAACTCCCACCAGACAGTCACTTTGCACGAGGGAGGTGCCTTTGATTCAGATTGAAACAGACCAGAGAGAAGACTGTATTGGAGAACTTGAATGCTTCCTTTCCAAAAGAGGCCTCCCAGAGGAATCAGAAGAGCATCCTAATGAAGAAGAAAACTCAGATGTGGACAGAAGTGGAGAGACAGCCAGGCATGCCTGCCAAAGCCACAGGTGAGTGAATTCATCTCTTAGACTAGATAGGGTGCATGTCACTTCAGGTTGTATCTGAATTGATATTTATTCTAAATTTTAGACATATAAGGACTTTACTAATTCAAGAACTCAATTCCCAAGACAATAAAAGATCTCTGTGAGTTAACATACACTTCTAAGAGAAGGTTGGGAGTAAATGGTTTTTTTGAATTTCTAAAACAAATTGAACTCATTTATACAGCAGAGTAAATAAGGTATCATTATTTTCTGTTAAAACTAATATTTGTTAGCTTTTGAAACTTATTCATGGTGGTTTTTCAAGTAAAAGTAACAACAATAATAAACAATGTCAACTTGAAAATACTGTGAAATTTAAACAAATTTTAGTACTAGAATTTAGTTTCTCTTTTTTCTTTTTTTTTTTTTTTGTCTTATTCTAAAGATTTTTGTAAAGACAGTGTGTCCCATAAATGTTGGCTCCTTTAATGTATAATTTAACTATGCAAGTGCCAAGCAACACTGGAGTGTTACTTAGTCAGTTGTTTTCCATAAAATTGTAACACAGGTGACAATGCATTTTGAATTTGAGGCTAGGTAATTTTTTCTTTCAGTCTGCTTAAAGAAGTGTCAATTCCTTTCACAACTCCAACTTTATGTACAAGACTCTTATATATTTCCTTTCTACAGTTAAAGTTGAACAAAATAGGAAAATAAAAAAAATAACTAAGCTATTGGCTTTAGAAACATGAAGTTGAAGAAATAGCCTATGTAGTCTTTCAGAGACATATCCTATCACTCATTATTTGTAAAGAGTCTGTGATTTTAAAGTATTTAATTGCAATAAATAAGTTGAATACAACCATTATCATCAAATTTGAGCAGCTCTCTAATGTCCTGAGTACATTTCCACCTCCACCAGGGAGGAAGGGATCCATCTTCAGGAACTCTAGTGGTCCACACTAGAGCACAGCATTGTAGAATATCGTTGGTGCATGGTCCACTTGGACCTCCTGCTTCACCACTTAGTACTGAGAATTTTACTTTCCAATTAGATGAAATCCTGGAAAAATGGAAGGGAAAGAAAGCATGAAAACACAAAATAAAAGAACACAGCTGAATCAAATGAAATAGACTTAGCTGACCAAAAAGACCACTTTTTGTGTTAGTAAGTGTCTAACTACAGACAATATAGTCCAGGGAGTCTGGAGAACTATAATTTTTAAGTGATCAATGAGTTAAATAAGCAAAAAATAGCCAATATGTAATTCTTTATAATTGCCTTAACTTGAAATATATGAACATGGAAAACACTAATCACAGATTGCAGGTGCCTGGCTTGGCGTCTGCTTACACACAGAGATTGAAACTCAGCTGATATTCTTAGTCAAAGATGGTCACCAAGTCAGGAAGCATTCATGAACTAGCAATTCAATGAGAATTATTGTTGTAGGCTCAATTCAAATAGTGATTGTCATTAAGTTGAATAAAATATACAATTTTAAACTAAATGTCATTGATAGCATGCTTAAAATATATATAACTTTGGGGCATTCAAATTTTTTTAAGTCTATATCAATTAATCCTCTGAGTGACATGTTTGTGCTGTATATAATGATCCAAGTATAAAACCTCTAAACTCATGATAAGGATTTCTGATTTGGTTTCCTACCAATGTAATAAAAAGTATGTAGGATTATTCACCCTAGATATCTAAGTGCTGGACCCACTTGCAAAATGTAAGGACTAAATTTTGAATTTGTGGATCAATATAAAGAATTGTTACAGAACATGAACTCCACTAATGAACTGTGTCACCTTGAGCCAGTTCTAGAAGCTCCCATACTTCAGTTTACTCACCTATAGGTAAGAATAATCATAATAGTACCTTAAGAGAATTCTTAAGAAATGCACATGAAACTGTTAGCTCAATGACTCAAATGTTTATGGCTGTATTTACAGTGTTGTGCTTTTTCTCAAGAGAAGTCTGTCGTGAACAATGTGAGAATTTTATTTAGACAAGAGAATTATCAGAATTTCTAAGGGGGAAAATTAATCATAGTTAGATTACATTTTCTAAGCTCAACATTGTTATCGTGGGATTTGATTTGTCAAAATAGCTAAACACAGAACTCAATTTCTTATGAAAGAGTTCTACCCACTCCACATAGGAGCAAGGCGGATATCTTAGGCACTCAGTTGTGTTTGTAGGTGGAAACACATGCCCTGAAGATATTTTTAGGCTACTCTCTTGAGGGATATTTTCATAATTCTTAAGTACCATTAAAACTCAACACATTGATGTAAAAAATCACTTTCTTACCTTTTATTTGGCAAAAGAATAACAATTTCAGGTTAATTGTGGAAGTCATTACCAAATGGAAACTGTTGTCTTTTAGGCCATCATATTTTTCAAGCAGCATAAATTAACCATAGTTATAGAAAATTTAAATGATTAGGATAGCCCTGTTCTTGATTTCTGAGAAAGCGGTATCCTACTGGGCAACAATGTGCCATAACACATCTCCCTCTGTGCGATTACTAAAGAGCGATCACCTTAACTTTTTGATAAGTTCAACCTATTCAGTATAAATATCAAACTGAGAAGCCTGAGTATCCACATGGTGCACTTGCTGGCATGGTTTGATGTTTTAGAAACATGTTCTATATTGCATATTAATTTTTCTTTGCATCAAGAAAATATTCATCCAACAAATATTTGAGCATTCACTCTATAATATCCACCATCCCTGGGGCTACAAATGCAGAAGAAATTAAAGAAATCTGGTGCTGCATCCCATGGTTCTTACACACTAGTGGGAGAGACAGAAAATGTATGTGGAAAAACTCTTCAGAAAATGATTATTATGAAGTGTATTGAAAGACATCAAAAAGAGTTACATGATAGGGAATAAGTGGCTACTTATGATCAGATGTTGAAATGAAACTTAAAGGAAAAGAAAGTGCTCACCCTGGGAAACAAACTGAAGTGAAAGATTCAAGCATTGCATTGTGCTAGCTTGAAAAATTCTCCCACCATGCATCCTAGGAACCTAGAATCTAGAACCTATAAATCTTAGGTGAAATATAATAAATATCCCTTTAAACACAAAGCTGAGCTTAGCAGTAATAATTATAGTAATGAAAATCTTAAAGAAAAAAATGAAAGAATCTGAAGACAAAATGATGAATTAAAACTCATTCTACACCTTCCTGAAGGCATTCTCCAGTTTGCAGCTACAAATCTGTCTCCAGCAGAAATCCCAAGCTATGAAATTACCTTAAAAGAATCTCAGGTTAACAGATATTTCTGTAAATGCTTGGCATAGGTTAACATAAATCTCTAGATATTTAAGCCCAAGTCTTAAAGGATTCCAAGGCCCCCAAAAAAAGAACCTTAAACTGCAAAGCATACAAGACTCAGCACAAGCATCAAACAGCAGAATTAACTTACCAAGGATCTCAGGTATTGGAACTGTCAGATATAGAATATAATATAAGCATATTTTAAATATTTGGTAAAAAAGGATACAAAAAACAGAGGCTAGGAATAAATTACAACCAAAATAGTACAAGGCAGACATAAAAATAAATCAAAAATAAAAGGTACTATATGTATGTACCATTGAACATAAAACCTCAGTGGTTATCTGCATAGAAAATAATAGTAAAAGATAAATGTGAGAAGACTTCTGTTTTCACCTACAATGAACTCACCCTCCCTCTATAAGCAAGTAGAAAAGTGGACAAAATATGAGCACCATGTTGAGAAAAGGGGAATAAGCACGGTGAATCCTTTAATAGCCCAACTTCCTACCTTGACTCCCTTTTAAGACAATAGTACAAGGAGGGCGAGCCTGAGCAGAGCCCAGTGGTTACTCTGCATTGAGGAGACAGAAAATGTAGGAAGCCACGCAGAGGAAAAAACTCAGAAGTCTGTAGAGGGATCCTCTCAAGCCTGTACTACTCACTGATCGATGCATGCATGCACAAGTGCAATTCCAGGAAGCTGAAGAGCTTATGAAATGCTGAACAATTCCCCCAAGTTCACAGAGGTCAGGGAGAAGGGTGGCTCCGATCAGCCAGCATATAAAATCCATGTTAAGCACATCCGCTTTTAGTAGAGACCTTAAATGGATCAAAAGGTAGAATTAAAGCTTAAACTGTAAGACCTAAAAATATACATCTAAACTTGCCCTAACAAAAGTTAAGAACAAGCATTGAAATTATCAACCTGAACTGAAAATAATGTAACCTATAGTAAGTCTGATACTATTTTAAAAGTATAACAAAATCCAGGAATCAACACATGAATTTTCATCGTCAAATCAAATTTTGAATATGTTACACATAAAAGGAAGCAGAAAAATAGCAATCATACCCAAATACATAATCATCAATAGAAACATATAGGGAAGTTACAGAAAAGGTAAAATAAGCAGACAAAACTTTAAATGGCTATAAGATACACATAAACATGAAATTTAATGAAAATTATAAGCTTACTTAAATATCAAAGAAGTGCAGTGATCTTAAAGCAGAACAAACAAAAAAGGAAACCACATCAGGGCAATTATTTAAAAAGAGTGATAATAAAATTATTTAAAATAACAATACCCCAATTATTTTTAAATAGTGATTAAAATATTTTAAAGTATCCCAGAGAAAATAAATATTACATACTGAAGAACACAAATAAAAATTGTGAATTTCTCCTCAGAAGCACTATAAGTAAAAAACCAAGTATGACATTTTTACTGTGCTGAAAGAAAAAAAATTGTCATCCTAGTATTCTTTGTTCAGCAAAAATAGCTTTCAAAACTAAAGGCAATTCATAGAGAGGGAGGCATAATATTGTCAAGATGTCAGTTCTTTCCAAAGTTGTTCTAAACAAATCTAAACAAAATCTCAGTAAAAGGCTGAGATAATTTTTAGTTCTCAACAACACGATTCTCAAGTTTATATGAAGAAGCGAATGACTCAGAATAGCTTACACAATATTGAAAGAGAGGAATAGAATCAAAGCACTAACACTACCTGACTTCAATACCTATAAAAAGTTGTAATAAACAAAACAGTGTGGTATGGGTGAGAGAACAGACAGTGGATCAATGGCCCAGAATAAAGAGTCCAGTAATAGTCCCACACAAATATAGTCACTAATAATAATAACAATAATAATAATAAGCTAACCTAAACACAGACCTTACATCCTTCACAAAAATTAACTCAAAAAGGATCATTGACCTAAATGTAATATGCAAAACTGTAAAACTCACACAAAACAGTATAGGAGAGAATCTAGATGAACTTGGGTATGGTGATGACTTCTTGGAGACAATGCCAAAGGCATGATTTTGAAAGACATTCTTGATAAGTTAAATTTTATTAACATAAAAATCTGCTCTGCAAAAGTCACTGACAGGAGGATGAGAAGACAAGTCATAAACTGAAAGAAAATATTAATTTTTAAATATCTGATAAAAGACAACTATCCAAAATATACAAAGAACTATTAAACTCAACAAGAAAACAAACAACTTGATTAAAAAAATTAGCTGAAGAACTGAACATAGTTCACCAAAGAACACGCGTGTGAAAAGCAGTTCAATATCATGTGTCATTAGAAATTGCAAATAAGACAATGAGTTGAGAGCAAATGCCTGCTAGTGTGGGCCAAATCCAAACCACTGAGTGATAATGAGGTGGCAATGTAGCTTCACTGATTCTGGTACAGGATGGTAAGGAGGAGGGAGGCTGTGTATGTACGGGAGAAAAGGGGGTATTTGGAAACTCTTTATATTTTCCATTCAACTTTACAATGAAGCTAAAGCAACTTTAAAAAATAAAACCTACTAAAAACTTTAAACAAATGTCAAATAACTTTTGTATAAGCAAAATCTCATGAACGTATGTTACTATATTGCTTGTATAATTGTACACTGTATACTTATGCATATACATAAGTATTAATGGAAAATCGTAGATTAATGAAATGAATACTGGTGGAACTTTAATCTCATAAAATCACAAAAAGACTGCAAATTATATAAGTCACTGAATCACATTTTAAAATTTTTCTTTTGCATTACCTTTTTTCTTCTTTTTTTGTTTTGTTTTTGTTTGGCTTTGTTTTGTTTTGATAGTGCTGGGATCAAACCCAGGGCCTTGCACATGCTCAGTAAGCACTTCTGTCACTGAGCTATACCTCCAGCCATTCTTTGCAATTCATTAGAAGATATTGACTGTTTAAAATTACAAAGTTATTTTATGACATATGAGAAACTAAAATATATGTCAATTACAGCACAAAGAATGGAAAAGGGGAAACAAAGTTTTACTGTTATAAAGGCCTTCCATTATACATGAGTTTGTATAATGTAATCAGAGAGTAGCCTATAGTTGAAGGTGAATATAATAACTCCTGACATAACTGTTGAAAATATAAATAAAAAACTTATGATGATAAATCAATATTGCAGATAAAATGCTAAAAATATTCAGTTAACTCAGAGAAATGCATTAATAGAAAGAACAAATGGAAAACAATTGTCAAGATAATATATTTAAATCCACCCTCATTGATACTTTATATAATTTGTAATTATACTGATTATCATTGATAATCATTGATTATCATCAAAAATTCATATAAATTATTAATGACTTAGACATACCATTTTAAAAGCAGAGTAAGAAAAACCAAATCCTAGCACAAGCTATCTACGAGAAATATACTTCAAATACTAAGGTACAAACAGAAAAAAAGTAATAGAATGGAAAATAAAATATAAGTAGAATAACTATATTAATGTCACACTACGTATGAGTTATATCATTAAAGATAAATAAGGATGTTTATTATCAAATATTATAGTTGAGTAAATTCATCAAGAAGACAAAATAATTTTAAAGATGTAGTCACCTAAATAACATAACCCCAAACTATCTGAAACAAAAGATAGAAGGAGAAATAGACAAACACAAAATTAAAATTTGGAATTCAACTTTTCTCTCAGTAATTCAAAAAGTAATAGATGGAAAGTGAATATGGATATGCAAGACTTGAGCAGCATTCCTAATCAACTTGACCTAATCAACACTGCTAGAACATTCCATCTCCAACAGCAAAATATATGTTTTTGCAAGTGCACTTGAAACCGTTACCCTCTAAGGTAAAGTAGTCATAGGTTGGGCATGGTATCTTATGCTCATAACCTTGGCTGCTCTAGGAGGTGAAGGATCACAGCTCAAGACCAGACCAGGCAAAGTTAGCAAAACCCCCTGTCAACAAATAAGCCTATTGTGATGGTGCACATGTGTAATTTACAGCTACTTAGTATGCTGTAAGTAGGATGATCACCACCTGAGGCTGCCCAAAGATTCTGTCTGAAAATAACTAAAGAAAAAAATGGCTAGGGATTTGGCTTAAGTAGTATAGCCCATGCCTAGCAAGTAAGAAGCCTTGAGTTCAAGCCCCAGTACTGCAAAAAAAAAAAAAAAAAAGAAAGAAATCATAATCACAAATTGAAACTCAATAATAAATAGATGTCGGAAAAATCCTCCAAAATATTAAGAAATTAATAATGCCTCTAAATTATCTATTTGTCAAAGAATGTGACAAAGAAAATTAGAATATATTTTGAATGAAAATGAAAACACATCAAAATTCGTGAGATGCAGCCAAGTCAGTACTACTTAAGAAAGATAATACTTTTAAATGTTTCTATTTAAAAAATAATAGTCCAACATCAATGATCTAAATGTCCCCTGAAGAAGCTCAAAAAGGATGACCAAATTAAACCCAAAATGGTAGAAGGAAAAAAGGAAATGATAAAAATGGGAGCAGAGACCAATGGTCATGAAAATAGAATGGAGAAAGTCAAAAGAACCAAGTTTATTTTCATTCAAAGTCTAGTGAATATGTATGTTTCATGCATTTAAAGTTAGAGTCAAATATGTGTGTAAGAAGTGAGTTCACATTTATTTTTTATTCCTCCTTTCAAATAATTTTTAACGGGAACTAAACTTTTCAGGATCCAATGGAAAGAGGGCTTAGACTGTACCTGAATGTTTATTTACATGTTACTTTCAACGTATGCCATGCAATTCTTGTTTTCCATTTGCTGTAATGACTTCAATTTTCTTCTCAAAGTAAAACATACCTAGGTTATATAAAATAAATTGATTCAAGGAGATCTTAGTATTATTATGCTACAGGTAGAACACAGATATATAAGAATCCTGAGAGTAGTTTGGTTTACAAACTGGGCAAACTGGACTTGACCTTAAGATCCCTGCTAACTCAGAGGTTCTACAGTTGAATTTGATGTGGCATATGGTCCTCAAAAGCTGTATGGGAGCCATGAGAACAGAAATGGGGGAAGCCATCTGCCCACATGTGCAGTGCACATCTGTGCATTATTCACGAATAAATTAGCAGAGCTATAAATTTCTCTCAAAAGAAATTGAAAACCAGAATTTTAGAATTTTCACTTCTGTGGCATGGAACACGAGAGATGATGCAAATAGAGCATGAAATTGAGGTAAAATAAATTTTACTGACAGACTCGTATTCTGACAGAATCTGGATATTCAATGTCAATCACTGGGATTTAACTCCTTTTTGGCAAGAAATACACTGGAATGAGTTTTTCTGATAACAGAAGATCCTAATTTAGTAAGAAATTAGCCCAGGAAGTTACTTTTTAAGCAGGCAAACAAATGGGGTCAGAGCTTTCTCCTTTGTTCTAGCACTTGGTTCATTTACACTTTTTTTGCAATATATATGTATATATAATTTCCATTTGTCATTATTAACATTTAATTTGAATTTAAGTAAAGTAAATACTGTCTCCTTGGCTGCACCCATTCTCTCTTTTCCTCCATGCTCAATTTAGGGGGAAAAAATATCTCAACATTCTAGGAAGGAAAACCAAGTTTATTAAGTAGCAGAGGATTCTAAAAACACATACCTCAATACCATAGCTATCCAGAATATTGTCAGAAGGGATGTTGGGGCCAAAATGTTTTGAAAATTCCTCAGGTATCAAAATTCACCTATATGGCTCATACCTGTAATCCCAGCTACTTGGGAGACAGAGATCCAGAAGCTCATGGTTTGAGGCCAGCCTGGCAAAAAGTGAAATACCATCTCAATAAATAAGCCAAACACGGTGGTACATGCCAGTAGTCCCAGCTATGGAGAAAGAGAAGTAAGTGGTGCTGATGTGGTTTCAGGGAGAAGGGACAGGGTAAAAGGTGGCTGCAAGTCCAAAACATGTTCAGAAACATTTGTAGGATAAATAACTTGGGAAAGCTCCAAAACCAGGGTGGATATTTTCCCCCATCATGGTCCACATACCACTTGTACTAGAATCACCAAAGGCAGTTGATTAAATTACAGACTCCTGGGCCTCCCTCCAGAAGATGCTTTGTGGATCTTCATTTTACACAGTAATTCTTGTGTATTTAACCTTTTGGAAAATGAAAGAGACGAATTAAAGAGATGGAGAATAATCGTGAAAAGGAAAAATGGGACCTGGCTACCAAAAGGATGATCAACCTAAAGAAAGACTCCACCTGTGTCCAATAACATCCTTCTCACTCTGGTGGACACCCAGGCTCAAGAGCGTCCAGCTTGGTCTCTGTGAAAAGTTCTGTATAGTGAATCCCCTCTTGGTAATAATATTTTACTATCTACAGTGACAACCTTGGAGCCAGAGATGTACCTGAAGCTGAAGTCTCAATAGAAGCCAGAGCCCCCGATGAGTTCCCCAACCCTTCTAGCAGCAGCGAGGAGAGTACAGGCAGCTGGTCCCAGCTAGCCAATGAGGAGGACAACCCAGATGACACAAGTAGCTTTCTGCAGCTCAGTGAGAGATCCATGAGGTACCTGCTTTTCCTTCACTTCACTCCCAAGGAAACTGGTCTCAAGAAAGATTCTGAAAATGCGTTTTATTGTTCTCTGCAAAGTGTCCCTAGTAGAGAAAAAACCAAAAGGAAAGCTCCCCATTCACCAAGCTCTCCCTGTCAGGATTTGTGCTAAAAGTATCTTAATGTCCAGCTATAAGTTTGATGACCTTGGCCAAAGTTAAGGCTCACCTGTGCTCCCTGTCTTGAAAGCCCCAGCTAGTGTATTCAGTGATAACAACTGTGATTTTTTTTGAATTTTTTCATTGTTGTGCTGAGGATACATTTTAGCATTTTAAAAAGTTCTTACAATACATCACGTATATCATACTTGAATGCAACTCCTCCATCATTCTCCTTTATCACTCCTCCCCTCATTCCTGGAATACAACTGTGACTTTTTTTTAACAGAAGCTGCTATTACACCTGGTGTGTTTGAACTTTCTTTCTGGTTCATTTGTATTTCAGATGCAACACAGGCTGGGTTTACACGAGGCAAGTGTTTCCATGCTGTGTTGTGTTGTTTGGCTTGATTGTTCCTCCCCTTTTTCTCCCCTACCCTCTGTATTGTTTTTGGAAAAGCTAGAGAATTTAGTAGAGATCAGATTTGAAATGACTTGATCTAATCAGAAGCCATGAACTAAAAACTAACCCTCTATGAAGTGGAAACTCTAAAAGAAATTCTAGGTTTCTGACCAAAGTCATAGTTGACCTTAGACCAACAAATCCATAAACTTTCCAGAGGAGCCGATTGGAAAGTAGGATTCTGAAGACATATGTTGGGCTCTTTAAAATTTTATTTCTGGCAGTTCAGTCCATTTAGACTTGGAAACATTTAACAATGCTAAATAACTTATCTAAAAATTTAAAAATTATTGGGGCCAAAAAAAAAAATAGAAGCAAAGAGAGTTTCAATCTTTGGAATAGCAAAAGTTTGTGGGATGATCACCTCCAGTAGAATTTGAATCATCTGGTTTCATCTGGTGAACATCTTGGCTTTCCCACCTGAAACTTAAGACAAGAATTTAAAGTTGAGGGAGTCTGGCTGGCTGATTACTCATGATATTCCTGAAGGAACACTGTGTTACTACATGACATACCAAGTAGTCACCTTTCCAAAATCTTACTTGGAAAAGATTTCTTTGGAAAATAGAGAAGGTGTGAGGAGACTCACTGAGCTTTGTTTAAAAAGAAATCAGTGCTTTTCATTTCACAAGTACAGACAGAGCAAAAAAACTGACTGAACTCTACTGTGTTTAACAGTAAGTTCCAGGCTCATAAATAGACCATATGTTGGTTGTACAGCCTACAAAAATGATACAATATGTGATCCTCCTTTTCTGTGGTACATAGCAAGATGTGATCTTTTCTTCTATGATACATAAGGTATCAAGCATTGCTCCTTCTTGAAGGTTGTCAAATAAGAGAGCAATGAAATTTTGACCATAACCCAAAGTTGGATTATTTCTCTCTACATCTAGTCTGCAGGAAAACAACAAAGCAGGTGTACATCCTATGAAATCCTTTGCAATGTCCCTGAGAAAAATCCCTTGAATTACAAAGGGAAAATGAGTTCACTGGTTTCTTTCAAAATCCAAGAAACAGGCAGATAAGCATTCTAGTATCTTCCCCAGCCAAAAGGAGTATCTTCATTTCTATAGAAATACCCACCAGGAGGACATCTCTTGTTTATAGATGAATATCTTCTCTCTAATAGAATGAAGAAGGAAAGAGATGCTGATTGTTACCCATTGGGGGAGTGATCCACCAAGTGTGATATTCCTTCAGTAATTATAAATTATCATCACTATCTTTATTGTTATTATTATTATTGTCACCCTGAGCTCTGAGTCTTCTGCCTGTGTTCCCCCTGATTGGCACTAATCAGTACCAATGTGAAAGTCTTAGACAAAAAAGCAATGTTCTCCTGGAGAGCCAAGGTAGTACCTCTTACAACAGTGGAACATCAGATTCAGCAGCATAACCAGTGTGGGGACAGGCATTAATATGTAAACTTTTGCTTTGTCAGCAATGGCAACAGTAGTGCCACTAGCAGTCTTGGCATTATGGACCTGGACATTTATCAGGAAAACATGCCATCTTCTCCCATGATTCAGTAAGTAGCCATGAGGTGCAGTGATTGTGAGACCACACTCCAATTCCATCTGGCAATCCATTTTGGTCATTCAGGCTGTGCCCAACCACTGATTCATTGTGTCTGTGCTGCTGTGGTTCCATGTCACTAAAGCAAGGATTCAGACCTGGAATAGACCCTTCTCTATCACCCACCTATTTCCTGACTTTGAATCCAGTCTCTGTAGAACAATCATTTCAGATAAAGTTTATCACTATAATAAGAAGTATATGTCACTTTTCCTACTTGGACATATAGAAGCAAAAATTGCATTTCAATTGTACCATGCCACCCAAGGAAGACTATTCAATAGCTTGATTCACTAAAGCGTATTGTCACTCGAATATAATCAAGTGTGAGTGGATTCTCTTTTGCTTGTGGACACCTAGGATTATCATTTCTAAATGTGTCTAATACCAAATGGTTGCCATGATGGAGATGTGTTATTCCCACTTGGTGACCCTGGTCCCCACAATATGAGGACTTCTCAAAAACCAAAAAAAAAGATTCTTAGAGATGTATTTGTGTACTACATAAAGTGTAGCACAGAACAGAAGGGCAACATGAAGTCATGACTACTCCTGGAATTTGTGATTGCTCTGGAAAATTAAGTGAACTAAAATCTATTTTTGACTATTCTGACTTAGCTTATTATTTGGAGAGTTCTGAAATTTTAGAAAAATAAAGAGGAAGTATAGGACTAAAATTCCTTCCACCTATTTTCTCAGTCACTATCAATAGCTAGAGTATTTTTATTTGGCCATTTAATCAGGTGCATCCCTCAGTGATTGGAGGCTCCAAAGCATCCTTCATCGTTTCACAGAACCATTATTCACAAGTGGAGATGAGCATATGAACACACACATTTGCTTTTTTCTTGTTAAGGAGAACCAAAAAACAAACAAACAAAAACTACTCTGGAGTATATTTTTTTCTTCAGGAAACATTAATTTAGCTACTTTTCCCACTTTCCTTGCAATATGAGCCTATGACATCAGGGTAGGTGTGTATTCAAGAAAAAGCTAAGATCACCACATCCATTACCCAGCACAGTAGCTCCATAATAGCAAAAATGATAGTTGACATTTGTCATGCCCTTATGTCACTTACACAAAGATCAAACAGAAAATCTTGACCCTTAGGAAATGTGCATTAAGTATTAATTTTTCTCTCTACATCAGTGGAATTCACCATCATCAATGGAATTCAACAATTCAATGAAATTTAACAATTCAATGGAATTTATCAGCCAGATCTTGTAGCAAAAGAGAATATAAGAGAATCCTGTGTCATCAAAAGACACATTTTAAGAAGCTAATTCCAAATTTCTAGGAAATTTAGAGGCTTTCCAACATGGTCACTTCCTTTCATCTTTTGGACCATATGTTCTCATTTTGGAAACATTACTGAATCCTCCCACTTTGTACAAGGCCCTGTAATAAGTACATACCCTGTGAAAACATCTCCAATGTTAAACGCTACCATAGGTAATGAAATAATCACATCAGTTATGAGTCCCTAGTTATAAAACATCTCCATCCTACCATACTTGCCTGTAATAAAAGCAGTAAAAAAGAAAAATTTCAATTCATTGAAATATTTTACAGTAAAATTTAGATTCTGCAGTTTGCCGATTGTCTTCTAACGTGTTTCAGATCAAAGAATGATATATATGCAAAAAAAATTTTCCTATATTAAAATACAAACAAATTGCAATCACAGTTCAGAAAAAAATTCTGTGACTATATGGAAACATATGGTTCATTAAATAACAACTAAAAGTCAGGAGAAGGGTAAGTCCCAAAGTCAGAACTAGCTACCCCAAATCTCTCCTTGACTGCTCAATCCTGTGAGGTTTCTGGCAGGAAGACTGGAGAACAGAGGACATTTCCCTGAGTCTTCCACATCAGTTATCCTAACTAAAACCATTCAGGTTGTCTGAACTTCTCTTTGGTGGAGTGGGATATTTACTGCACACCCCATAGGTCTATGCAATATCCCCATTGTTCTTTCCCAGCTGAGAACAAAAAATCAGAAGTGTAGGGTAATAAAACCCATCACCTCATCTTCCATTTATAACTGATTCTTCCTACATATTATCAACCATATACTATTGTTTTCCTTTCAAAGTGAATTAGTAGAAGAAAAGGAGATTCTTAAAGGACAGTCAAAAAGCATAAAGGGTAAGCCAAATTCCCATAATTTTGACACACAATTACCTTGAATTTCCCTTTGGAAAGCAGAGTAAGGCTGTGGTTGTATCTGTTCAGAACATGCCTCTGGACTGCCAGGGAGAACAGCCAGCCACCCAAGGAGCCTGCTGGTGATCAACTTTGACCTGGAACCAGAGTGTCCTGATGCCGAGCTTCGAGCTACTCTGCAGTGGATAGCTGCCTCCGAACTGGGGATCCCCACAATCTACTTTAAGAAATCTCAGGAGAGCAGAATTGAAAAGGTACCATGTTCCCTGTTTGAGTAGGAAATCAACAAAGCTTTGTGTTTTTGTCAGTGTTAGAAACTCAACAAGTGCCCACTTAATCCTTATGAATTTAAAGTGTTTGAGCTTGACTTTTCTTGACCTAAGAACAGTGGCAAGAACTTTGAAACCTTCCACCTGTATAAATCTAGAAATGATTACTGTTTCTTTGACCCTCAGTTTGTCTTAACTACGTGGAGGTAATGAGGAAAGGAAATTGAAGAGATAACTTTTTCAAAGCTATTTACAATTTAATTCTTTTGTTATTTTTTTGTGCACCTTGCTCTGAGGCCAGCCTCTTCATAACACACCAAATGTAGGAAAAAATGACCTGATATATATTAGAAACTAAAGTGAGGTCATTCTGATATTCAAACTAAACTCTAATTTTCTCTTCATTAGATGCTAAAGAATAGAACTTTAGTCAATACCACAGTTAATTGTAACAATTGCTCTAAATCCTTATCTCTAAAACCTTATCTCTACCACGAACCATGGTAGAATCTCAACCATTAAAATCAGTGAATGAATCCATCTGCCCAATGTCTTCAAAGTCAAGTTCCTGTAATTTATTCTCATTTTAAAACGATATCAAATTGATAATGCTGTATTAGTTTTTTAATTGCTGTTTACAAACTGCCACAAATATACCAGCTTCAAGAACACCCTGCTTTGCAAGTTAGAAATTGGAGTGAGTTTCACTATAATTTCTGCTCAAGTCTTAGGAGACAGAAATCAAGAAGTCGGTCTAGTTGGTCTTTTATCTGGAAAGTTACAGGCAAGAAGAAGTGTACAAACACATTTGTTGTCCTAGTTCAGTTCTTTGCAGTTGTAAGACTGAAGTTCCCGTTTCATTACTCATACTCAGCTTCTACAAGCTGCAGACATTCTGGGCCACATGTTCTGATGCTCTCAGTCTCTATGGTAGCTTTTGCCACTAGGCAGAGAAAATCCTGTGCTTTTAAAGCGTTTGTGTGATTAGGTTAAGTTCTGCTGATAATCTCTCTTTTGATTAACTCAAGTTTAACTGAGTCCCTTTACCATGTAAAGTAGCATGGCAAGGATATGCTGTTTTATACCATTCATGTTCCTAAGGATTACAGCAGAAAATCTTGATGGCTGTTTTAGAATCCTGCCCTTCACAGCCACCATGTACTTGTCATGTCTTATTGTCACTAGGAACCTCCATGTACCTCATTACACTTGAGAGGAACAGAATGGGTTCGACTTTTCCCTCTTTTGCTAAAGAGCAAATTGGGACACCGCCCCCCCGCCACAAGAGGCTGGTAGGTGAGAGATTCCTCTGAGAGTGACCCCTGAGCCTAGTCCCCAAGTCCTGCGTACTCTGAAAAACACTTCTTTGTGGTTCTCCATTTAAAAGGGCCTCTCTAAGCTAAATGACTTTGGGTTATAATCTGGATATTTTAATGTGAAATTACACTCTAATTTTCAGCACCAAAACCTAACAACCCAAAACAAAGTAGTTTTTACCTTCTTGCCCATGCAAGAACAGCCTCCCCATCTTTGTAGGAACAACCAATGGAATTGACTACTGGAAAAATCCAGAAGACTTAATTCATTTTCTATGCTCTCTCTCACTTCAATGTCTTCCTCCCACCAATATTTTATACTTCTTTTCATGTCTAGACCTACCTTATCTTCTACCCAACTTAATCTTGGTATCCTCTTCACTTGTCGTGGTTCTGTGGCAAGGTGATGAATGATCCACTATTTGATAAAATCTCCTCCAATCTTAACCCCCCAGCCTGCTCATTGCAAAGGGTGAAAAGGAGCATAGTCACATCTGATCCCTCTCCGTATCATACTCTATCCCAAGGGGAAGGAAACAAGAATATTCTCCGTAGTACATTCCCAAGATCTTGGGAAAAAAATGAAAGGGTTTCTACTTTATCTCTAGCTACTCCATAAATAAAAGTATTTTGTGGTGCACTTTCAGGGGTGTCTTAAGGGAACACATTTTAGTTCATTCCATCTTTTTGAAGAAACATTTCATGTGTATATACATCTAATAAATCCCCAGTTGGTGAAAAAATAAGGAGTATTTCACTAATGCCTGGTTTATGTAAATCATACCCTGGCTTGATATTTGTCTATCCCTAACTAGTTTTCAGTTCTAAAAGGGAATTCCTGTCCATACTCGTCACTATGTTTTTGAGAAAATAAATGTTCCACTACCGTTATCATGAAAAACATAAAATTATGTTTCACTTACTCATTTCAATCAGCTCAAGGAATTCTAAATAATACAGCTTTAGGGACTAAATTTAGTTTCAGAGTCAGTTAAGGCTCTGTACTACTAGAAGCTTTTCTGTAAATGGATGCCACCTTTTGTTGTCTATGATTGAATTGGTTAAATAAAGAAAACCTTAAACCAACATTTAGACATTCTTTTATCAAGAGTGATTTTTGAGGCCTGATTCTGTTTGTTTTTTAATTAGTTAAGTAATTAAGCAGCCATTTTCAAGACTGGTGAAAAAGAGAGAGGGGATGGGTCATGCACAAACAGCAATATCTCAGTCGGTCCTCATCTGCTTAGAGAAGGTTTAAAGAAACTCTAAGTTCAGGAAATGATATCTTACCATTGTCAGTTGAGTTATTGAACACCTACATAGAAGAATACCTTAAGTCTCTATTTGTGTGAATCTTGATTTTATTTTATTTTTTGGACAAATTAATTTAGTCAACATGTTTCCCTCTGTGGTATGATCAATTTACTAACCTTCCTGCCTTAAGAAAATAGAGGCTGAGGCAGAGGATGACATGAGTGAATGCTAAAGCAACTCATCTTCCCCACTATTGCTTAGAAGCTTGGCCTTGGAATTGGAGGGCACTTAAATACAGCTTATGATGAAATCCCAGCCTTAGTTCTATCCAAAAAGCAAATTCCAAATATTCTGGATGCCCAATGTACTGTCATTCCTCTGGTGACACATTGCATCTTCATTTTCAAGCTTTTCATTTTATTTTCATTCTTCCTAGTCATTAAAAGGCTATGTGTATTTGAAAGTCCTACATTCTGAACATTCATCTAATGTTTACAGAGTATCTTTGACATGCTGGGAGTTGTTCGAATCTCTGCAGACCTATTGAACAAAAGAGACAAAACTTACTACCCTCTAGAGTTTACATTCTAATTCAGGAAGAACGCAAGGCAGGGAGAACATAAACCAAGAGATGCACAGGTTTGTAAACAGCAACCTTGAGATGTGATGGGAGTTTACTTTGAACAAGGGAAATGAGAAGCATATAAAAATTGTGTTTTCAAATTATAGCTAGAAGTCAAATGGGTACGAAATAGAATTGCCTTGAATGCTTAATCACAATTCAAATTCCTAACCTTTTGATCATTCTGATGAGGACTAATATCTGAGATCCTCTTCTATGGGAAGATGGCTACTAATCCTAACACCCAATAACCTAAAACAGTTTATAAGTTTAATTCACAGCAACTGCAACATCAGTTAAATTTACTCCAATTAATTCAAGGCAGAAGAAGAAAGAGGTCGTTAGTACATTTGGTTTAAAAAAGAAAAAGACAACCCAGTGAATAATTGTCCTGCTTTTGGGACCCAATAATCACTAGCTCACCAGCAGCTTTTCTTCTATTTAAATTCAGCAAATTTTTATGAATTGGAGGAGGCTGATGACTGGCCTCACAGCAAATCTAGTGCCTTGCTTATCTTTAAGCATGCCTTAAGAATTACTCCCTTGTCATGGAAGCAGTTCATAGAAAGGAACATGCAGAAAGAAGAAACTGATATATGCTTGCCTTCCTAAGGAAGTGGGGATTAGAAAAGAAATGGCCTCAGTGTTAACTTCCTAGACCATGCCACATGCAAAGCTGTAGGAGAATGAGAGAAAATGATGATATTGACTTGACTCAACCTTCCCCCTCAAGAAAACCAAAAACTTTCAGTTAAATTATCAGTTCTAGCTAGGTGTCGCCAGTGGCTCATTCCTATAATCCTAGCTTCTTGGGAGGCTGAGATTAGGAAGATCATGGTTCTAGGCCACACCAAGCAGAATAGTGTTCTAGACCCCCATCTCAACATAAAAAAAAATAATAAGCTGAGCACCCTGGAAAGTGCCTGTTATCATAGTGGTGGCAGAAAGAATAAAACAGGAAGATCCTGCTCTAGGCCAGACTAGGCAAAAAGGGGGAGCCTATATCCAAAATAACAAAAAGGTCTGGAAAGCTGTGTAGTGCTTGCTTCACAAGTGCAGTAGCCTTAGTTCAAACCCCAGTACTACCAAAAAAGGGGGGGAAAGTATGAGTTGAAGATGCACATCACAAAGGAGGAGAAATGAGGACAACAACAGATATTAGTAACTATTGTACAAAGTCTTAGGGCTTTTCATTAGTAAACGTAAGAAATTGTCCCCAGTGAACCCTTTAATGGGTATTCTCAAACTCAGGGAGTGTCAGAAATACCAGGGAAGGTTTTACAAACTCCATGGTCCGACCAATTAGGTAAGCATCTCCTCCGGGGCTAAGCCCCAAGCATCAGGGTTTTGCAAGGTCTCTACAATTCTAGAATGCTGTCAAGGCTAAAAATCACAAACCCATAGGCCATGATTTCAGGAGCAATCCAGGGACCAACTCACTCATGCCCACCAAAATCTAATTTTTGCTTTGGAGCAAAAGATGGTAGCTGATTTCAGAAGACTTGGTTGAATGATTCACAAAAAAAATACACAGTTTGCAGACACTCCCATAAATATACCTACATGATTTTGTAAATAATCTACTCCTTTAAATGTACCTGAGAATACAAAGACGTTTGCCATGTGATACTTTTTGTTTTAAATGATCCATCAATGGTAAATTGTCACAGAATATAGATTCTTTGAGTTTCCTAAGACAAAATATTCGCTTAAGAAATGCCAACTGTGGTCTACAGAAAAGGAACCTAATTATTATTGATTATGAAATAAAAAAAACTTTCAATTTTATTTTTAATATAGTGGAAAGAAAAGCCAAAACCCCTGACATGCTAAAGCTAACTATGAAAATACCAAAGTAATAGCATGGCTGGACAGGATGCAAGCTCTAGGGCCAGCTGCTAAATAAAATGTGTTTGTCAAAGTCTATAGTAATGAGCTGGAAATTTCCTTTTCTGGCTTCTTCACAACCTCTGATTTCATTATTATCCAGTTTTTCGTGAAGAAAGCATGAGACCTCCTGCTTCTCAGCTCCATAGATGTTTCAAGATCTCATTGTACAAGATTAAGTCATCCCTGCCTCAGAGCATGCTATATTTAGTGAGGCCAGATTATTTTAGAAGATGCTTTGTTGGATTATCAGCTTGGACTTAGAAATCATGAGACAGATTCTAGCCCAGAGCATTCGTCAAACTATGAGTAGAGTGGCCTCGCTGCTGGGTCTTATACTCGTTTTGGATCACACTAGCATCTTGTTGTCTTTACCACACTAAGAGTTTCTCTTTTGCAGGCCCCACAGAGATGGAAAGAAGCTGGAATTTGGCTTCCAGCAAAGTCTGAAGTACAGAACCTTCTGGGAAGGGTCTGTCAAATATTGGCCTCTGTGCCAGAGTTTTGATTCTGTCTCCACAAACAATTAATTAGAGAGAAAAGTTAGTAAAGTGGTGGTCCAGTAAGCCATAGTTTACAGTAAAAAAAAATAAAGCAGAAAGGACCTAAGGCTAATGTTTCACTTCTGTGTACTTTGCATCAACTGAACCATTACAAGACATGTAAAGACAGGACATACCCTTAAGGATGACATTGTCAAAGTCCACTGGTGCCCATTCAGGAAAATCTAGAGAGAGAAATCAATTGACCTGTGAGCATCTCCCAGTGAATCTTCAGACACATGAAGGCCAGGGCTTCTCCATCAGGAATGTCTACTCCCTAGATTTCCAATAAAAGCTGAGAGAGACTGATTAATCAAATCATGCAAATATGCCTTAGCCTTCTCCCCTTCCACTTCCCTTGGGACTAATATTCTGAAACTTCGTGTTTTCACTCATTTGTTCAATCAAAAACATGACCTGACTCTTTCATACACACTGAGATAAAAGCAACAGTTCAACAGTCACCTTTATATATCTTCATAAATCAGCCACCTGGAATACTCCCTTCTTGAGTATGTCTGCATTATAATCAAGTCCTTCACCTAAAGAATTTTCATCTGTTCCCAAAATCTGAGGAAGCCAGTAGAGAGGAAACTAGGCAAGATGGTGAATGGTGTTAACAATGGTGCAATCTCCTCACCTGCTCCACCCAGGCAATGGCTGGTTTCTCTGAAATTCTATGGTGCTCCCTCACTCTTTTCTTGGATAAAAATCTCTTGATGCTTGTTCTCATCATGTGGGTAAGATGTGCTTCTCAAGATGGAATGAGGAACCAATGGGTGGCCCTACTTGAAAATTTGGCATTTAATTTATTTGACTAAATATACAAATCCAATGAGAAATTATTTATGATAGAACTAGAAAGGACAGTATGCCATGTTGGACAGTCCTGGTATGGGTGAAAGTCTAACCCAGAGAAAAGCAAACCTGAGGGAACACCTAAAAGACAGACTCTTAAGAATTAGCCTCATTCTATCTAGTCCCCTATTAATAATGGAACTCCCAAGAAGAAAATTTCACTTCAGTTGAAGAAACATTCCTAGAAAGGAAATAGACTGTCCTAGAAAACAGTCTCCTGAAACTAGAGATACTCAAATACAGACAGGAGGACCACTGGCCTTGGAAGGGCAGTAAATGAGATGCCACCCATGGGGGACACTGTGATATGAGTTCTAACTCTCTGTCTTTCTTAAGTTTCTAGATGTCGTGCAACTGGTTCATCAGAAGTCCTGGAAGGTGGGGGATATCTTTCATGCAGTTGTCGAGTACTGCAAAATCCATGAGGAGCAGAAGGAAGGGACCCCGAGTCTCTTTGACTGGCTCTTGGAACTGGGATAAAGCAGCATTCCCCTCGGGAGTATTTCCTTCCTTCATCCCAGCTTAGATTATAGTAGTTTGCTCTAAATACTCTGAACTTTCTCAAAACATTGTATCACATTAGCAGAACTATTAAAAAACCTTTTCTCCGGTACTGTGTTCATGGACCAAATCTAAGAGTAAGCAGGATATAGATCTGTACAAATCAATACAACCCATGGATACGTCCAAAACATCTTGTATTCAAATGGCTGCAAAAAAACCACTTCAGTGGGGCCCAACAACAAAGCTTACAACAGCCCCAAACTCTAGGAAAGCTGGACTCATATATGTGTAATAATATAAAGTGATATTTATTGTCTCCAAATATGTGAATCAACTGGAAACAAACTTACTGGTCAAAATGATTTTATAAACTATGCTGTAATCTTCATTATACTTTTCTGAGTAGGTGAAGGGGCTGTCAGTCCAAGGAAACACTTAGGATATGGGTGAGATAATCTCTAGGACTTCATACAAAAGATTTCCACCTTCAGATCAATATCAGTAGGTATTAACAGACATGGAGCAGTGTATCAGTGTTCCCTATGGAGGTGATTTCATTTTTTTCACTGCAATCCATTGATGGATATTCCAGTTCTTCCCAAACATCTCTGGGTTTCTTTGCTTACCAGAAAACAAATGGCACCCAGCTGGGAGAGAAGAAGACTGAAATTGCCTTGTTTCTATCATTACATTATTTGGACAAAATTATTACAGAATTCTTACCCTTACTTACTGAAATAAAGTCTGCCTATATACTGAATTATGTGAAATATAAACTTTCATTTTACTTTTATTATGAATTAAGGAGAGATTATTATCTTAAATAATATATTGACTTACTTTTGAGGCTCATAAGCCATGAAGAGATTGTTATCTAAGGTCAGGTACATACACTAAGCTTGGTGGTTTGTTGCACTGTGAATGCCTTGACACTCATACAGTTGACATACTACTCCAGTGACATTTACAGTGATGAATGTAGGTTAATGGTCTTGTGTTTGACATGACTAGTTAGGATTGCAGACTTCCTGATTCAAAAATGTTGGACACTGTATTTGTGGAAAAGAAGGTTTTATCACATTTTAAATATTTTAATAACAGAATTACTCTTTTGAAAAATGGGGGAATTTAATATGTTCCTAATAAGTCTCTTTCCTTCTGACTAAATTAGCTACACAAACTTTTATTTTGTTGATTAAAGAGGTACTTATTAAGAATCTTCTGAAATATTACTCTTTTATTTTGCTTTTAAAGACTGCAAAATAATTTTAAATGTGAACAAGGCCCCACACTATCAATACTGGCATTACCTAATCTATTATCCAAATCATGAAATGTCAAAAACACTTCCTTATAAACCATACTTTTTCCCACTAACACCTTGCCAGGCATCTTTTTCAGTGCTCTTTGGGTGTTTATTATACAAATAGTCCAAATTTAGATGGTATATTTAATTTGACGCATTAACTAGATTTTAAAATCTATCCCTCACCTCAAACTCAAATGTGCTTCTTTATGCTACTAAATGGAAAGGATATATTTATTTTTTAAACAATCCCAAAATATTGTGTGTAGACTTTTGTCATGCTCAAATAAATGTTTATTATCCTACAAAGCACAAACACTGGATTGTAACCATGTGATGAAGTTACATATATTGTATCTAATGTTACAAACTAATCAATAAATTCCTGTTGCAAATTGTTGTTCTTTTTTTCCTCCAAGAGCTTTAAGTACGTTATAGAAAAACTAGTCACCTTGTGATTAGATGAAGTAGATGTAACCTTTAAAAAGAGTTTGCTGACCTGCTTTCAATTTTGGAACAAGTTCTTTGATGAAATCTGTTGAAATTAGCAATATTCATGTAAATCACTCCTTGTCAGCCTTGGCACTGATCACATTTGGGGCCAGATAATTCTTTGTTGCCAGGGTTGTCTTGAGCATTATAGGATGCTTGATGGGATCTCTCAACTTTACCTACCAGATGTCAATACCTGCTTTCTATCAGTAGTAACAATGGAAAAAGTCTCCCAAAATTGGCAAATGTCCGTGAGGACCACTGGTATAATTGATGCACTGAAGAGGCAGGACCTAGGGACTCTCTCTATTAGGTGGTACGATACAGGAGGACGAGCCTATTTCCTCTGTGTAGGGAGTCTCAGTAAGAACCTGAAAACCATTCATCCCCTAGTCAAGACCCATATATGACCTTCACATTAAGCCTGGGAGACAGGAGAAAGAGACAGAAGACCAGAAAGGAGTCTATCGGCCTAAACCTAGACGCTAATAAACCAAAGGAAAACTCATCAAGGTTAGAAGCAAGTGAATCAATGGTCTCTAAAATCAGGAAATAAAGTACTAAGATGAAGCAGTGAGAATCAAGCTTAACTTTGTCACTAAGAAGAAGGCAAGAGCATGCATATATAAGGAAGATTTCTCCAGTCAGCTAGAGGGCACTGGAAAAATAAAAACAAACTCTGGATGTTGGCAAGAAGAGACTTTATTTGAAAGTATTATTGAGGGGGGAACAACCTCAGTAGAGATGGAGACTGTTGATAATGCTGCCACAATTAGATTAGCAAGTATGCAATGGTCAAGTGAAAGGGAATTTTGTCTTATCAAAAGCGGTAAAATGGCTAGAAAGGATGAGGTGTGAGGAAGGAGGGTAAACAGGTGAATCATTGAAGTAACATGACCACAGAGTAAATCAAGGCATATTTTATTCTGAGGTCAGCCTCTTCTCAGGAGGTGCTCCTTATGTTGTTCTCAGGAGGGCTGTATGCTGCATCAGACAGAGGGTATGTCAAGGTTCAGGAGCTGGAGGGAAGGAGAGAAGCTTTACTTAAGCTTGGCCAAAAAGCATTTTATTACAATTGACTAGTGGGTAAACTCTGGCAAATTCATTATGAGGCAAAGAATGGGAAGCTGGAGGAAGTATGTCTGGCCCTGTCTGAGATAAATGGAATGAGGAAAGCTATCTATGAGTCTTATCTAAGTCATATGAAGAAGAATGATTCCTTGCAATAAGCTGTATTGCAGGACAGAAAAGTTTGAGAGGATTTCTGTACCTATGACTGTTTGCTAGCATCACAGGGCTCAGATAACGTTCACAATGTCAGTATCAAAGACTCAACAAATGGTCCCAATGAAACCATTATCCTGATATCCTCCTGGGGCCCGGTGTCTTTCTTTCATAAAGCAGATACATGTTGCCCCACTTAATAAATGCTCTTTTAGTAATTACGGGCAGGATGTCAGGCACAATGCTAGACAGTTGGAATGAAAGTGTAAATCACACCTAGACAGTAGGGAAAACACACACATCAAGATCTAATATGTGTCATAATGCAACACTTTGGAAGAAAGAGGAGACAAGGACAGAGTATTTATTTTCCATGTCCAAGGGAAAAAAACATTTGAGCTCAGCTTTTTGGGTAGGAGGAAGTCATTTAAACAAGTGGGCAGTGGGGACTCCAAAGAACTGACTAGACGATATTCAGAACAAAATAAGATGTGAGTAAAAATCTGGACGTGCAGTCTGAAATGTAAGTGTAATGTAATTGTACTGTAAGTGGGAGCTGAGGAAGGCACTGGATTTGAAGCTCAGAATTGAAATTGAATCCTTGTTTTAGGAGACTTTCTCTTAATGCCACAGAGTCTAAAATGTCTTTATTAAGCATGAGTTCTTTCAAAGGAGATGCAAAGTCAGATGTAGATGTAAGAGAAATAGTTTGTGTGATCTGCTGAGTTATAGCTTTCACCTGGGTTGATGCCACAAAAACTTAACCTTACTTATTGCTGAAGGAATTCTCATGGAGCACTGCAGTGGACGTCCCCAAGACCAATCTCAGGCTCAAAGACATGCTGGAAAGACTAGCAAATAGGACTCAGAAACCATATATTCACAGTTATGAATTCAGATCAGGACAGAAAAAAGGGCACATAGGACAAAGTCCAGGAAAAATCAGTGCCAGCTTCCAAGTGCTCCCTCCCAGTGGAGTTATAAGGAGGCACTTAAGTCTCCAGCAAAAATATGTGAAAAAAGGATGTGAGGTGTTGCCAACCTAGGGAACTCATCATCCAAGTCTTGGTGTCCAGGTTTTGGTTTTTTCTTTTTAAGTTGTGGGCCAGTCATGTAAGTGTGCTGCACCCATTTAACTGACCTCAGCTACTCATAAGCCAACATCACCCCAGACCAAAAAGAAGAGGGGGTTTACAATAAGTCACATTAATACCATAAATTATCTAGTCAAACTGATACCACATGTCCCAAGGTGTCAGGCATACAGAAAAATACTCACACTCCTAGTCAGGCAGAACATTACAAAGACTCAGCACTTAATTCTAGAAGCTAGTCAACAATCAGTTCTAGAAACATGCCTCATAGGGAATGTGCAGAGTTTGAGGTCATAGCTCTCCTTACTATCTGCTGCCTACCATGATAAATGGAATGTGTATGCTTCCATTGCTGATTGCAAATTCTTCGAAGATGAAACCACATTTTACTCTAATGCCTTGAACAATGTCTTCTCCGTAGCAGATGTCAAATTGAGCTGGAAAACCTAATAGACCTTAGGAAACTGAGGCCTTGGTTTACATGTGATATTGTTTAATCATTAATTCTAGAAATATAATTTTATTTTGGTATTCTTCTTAGCTTACCAGAGACTGGTACTGATATAGAGAACTGCTTGTGATTTCTTATGAAATTACTTTTAGCTTCAGACAAATGAAACTGTCTATAATCAATTGCTTTTTATTGTAATTGTATAAGATTGTTTGACCTAAAACGCTAAGATATCACAAAACAGAGCACAGTTTAGTAGTATTGGGATAGATTTGCATGATATTCAGCTGCATTATCTGCAGAATTTGGAGGCCAGTTGAGAGCAGATAGTTTTGAAAGAGGGGAAATGAACAGAAGGGAAAATCATTTGCCCCTCCCTCCTTACTGCAAAAATTGTTTATACGCAAAG